AAAAATCATCATCATATGAGGGCATGATAGGGTGTTTTAAATGTTAATAAAAAGAATAAGTGTGATCAAACAGCAGCTTGCTGTTTGCTGTATTTTCGATCGGCGATAAGAGAGATCGGTACGTCGATTGATTCGGCGATTCATACGATTGAATCCAAAGATATGATTTGATTCAACCTTAGTTTAACCTTAACCCTAATCGGTGAATCGTACGGAGATACGATTCGATCTTGGGATACGGTTTAACTCTAACCTTAATCGTAATACCCGTACGACTCATTCATTCGTATCGTACGAGTGATTCAACTCATTCAATCCACGAGTGATTTTCACACTCTAAGGTTTCGTAGTCAATCTATCGATTCAACAGGTGTCGTAATCTAAAACTTCCGAAGACCTCAAACCAATTCTTCACTTTGTAGGTTACCGTACTAGGCTAGGGTACGTACTCGTCCGTACCCTACGTACACATGAATGAAAAATATTTTTGCGCGCACCTTGCGTTGCGTTGCTACGTGCGATATGGCACAGTACCAAGTACGAGTACATACTGCAGTACGATACTCAGGGGACCCCTGTCCTGGCTGTACTTACTTTACTCGTACGGTGCAAAACGGAATTCCTCCCACTGGATTTATTTGACTCCACCGAACACGAACCCCAGCCGCAGCCTGCACCAAGGACCGAACGTACCGTACCGTACGTACTCGTACGTGAAAGGCTACATACGTACGTACGGTATGCAAGGTGAAGAAAGGAGAACTCCCCCTTTCGTTCGTTCGGAACGCGGGTCGATCTATCCGTTGTGTATGTATTATGTATCGGCCCCTGGCTAACAGTACCGTATGCTCCTATGGTATGGTACGGTACGATACAGAGACTACAGGAGAAACAACAAACGTCGCACACAGTACGCAGACTGTAGCAGAGAGCGTACGTACTCGCATCTCGAATCGTTTCTTTGTATCGTGGGAGCGTGTTTTTTGGAATCTGTCGCATGAACCGCGCCATGCACGAACGAAGCTATTTTGCCAGTACCGTACCGTATTGTTTTACTGTACTGCAGTTCGTACTACTCGTAATATAGCAGTTTCTACCGTACCGCGATCGCTTCGTTTGACCCCTCGCAGGACCCCAGATCACATCACACCAAAAGGCGCAACATACACCGCACCCAGAGCCCCGCACGACACCACAACGCCGCAGGCTTCTGTCGAGAAACGAAGTCATTGAACCAGCACTCGGCGCGAAGCAAAGAACAGAGGTCGAGCCAGCCAGCCAGCCAGCCAGCCACCCGAACGCTGCACCGTCTTCGAAAGACCGCACTTCACGTTTTCCCTCCGCGATACAACACAACGCAACACAACACAACACAATGCAGACGGTGGACCTGGACCGGGACGACCTGGTCCTCCACGAGGGAGACGGGAAGATCCGGCGGCCGAGCAAACTCGTGGAAGGCGGCAGAGACGAAGCACGCCCGAAAAAGATGCCCTCGCCCCGGAAAGTGGTCGTCCCCGGGAAAGAAATGACCGGAGCAGCGCCCGCTTTGCCAGAAGAGACAAGCGACGGCGACGCAGGGAGAAGCGCAACCGCAAAGGCAACCGCAACCGCAAAGGCAACCGCAAAGGCAACCAACAGCCGCGACGAGAGCGATAAGGTCCCCGACAAGGTCCCTCTCCAGTCCGATCCGGGAGCCCCCGAGTTTTCCATCGGGGGGGATTCCGACGACGGAGACTCGTGCTTCGAAGACTGGGACGAAGACGATCGCAAGGGACGGGCCTTTTTTGGCAGCGACGCCGCCTTTGGTGACGGCGAGATCCACGGCGAGATCCACAGCAACGGCCACCGCCAGGATCTCCGGCAGGGGACGTGGACGTCGGCGTCGGCGTCGTCCGGGGATTCCCAGCACTCGAGCTCCCCCTTCGAGCTCACCAAGGAAGACATCGAAATCTGCAGGAGACTCGACGACGAGTACGAGCGAGCACTGGAAGAACGAGACATTGGCTACAACGCCCGGTACTCGAGCGTTCGGCAAACCGCCATGTTCAGCATCGTCTTCTTGGCGCTCTACATGCTTCAGGGAACCATTGTGTACCGAGAGCTGCTGCTACTGAACAACGAGAAAAACCACAACCACCGAGTCGAAGGACTCAAAGAAGGAGAGGAGGACGAATTCGACAACGAGTTTCAAAACTGGTCGATCCCCGAGTCCCTCTTTTTCTCCATTTTTACCATTACCACGGTCGGCTACGGCCGGGAAGACCTGCCCACGACTCCCAGTTTCCAGGCCTACACCATTCTCTACATCATGGTGGGAATCGCCACCCTGACCATCGTGGTGGCACAGGTCTATCAGTGCATCGCGCTGGAGGCCTCGAGGGCGCGCCTCTCGCAGGACAAGCAGCAGACGGAGCTCCGCCGGCGGAGCGGGCTCATGCTGGGCAGCGCAACCAACGCCACGGGGAAGGAACTGGGCGGCCCTTCCCCCCCAAAGGGCCCCGGTCCGCTCGGCGGCGCGGGATCGGCGCGCAAGTCCAGCAGCGACGAGATCATCATCTCCGACACCGTGCACGTGGGCCTGGTCCCGAGGGCCGTCGAGGGGTTCTTTCGGTTCCTAGACCGGGCCAAATTCTTTTTCCGGGAGACCGAGGTCGGAAAGGGGGCCTCGGTGGTCTTTCCCTTTGCCGGCCTGATCCTGAGCGGGGCCTGCGTCGTGAGCCTCATCGAGAAGTGGACCTTTCTGGAGTCGCTCTATTTTGCGGTGGTCTCGCTGACCACCGTCGGGTACGGGGACTACGTTCCGACCAAGCTCCCGACGATATGGTTTTGCATCTTTTGGTTGCCCTTTAGCATTGGGTTCATGTCCATGTATCTGAGCCACATTGCCACCTTCTACATCCGCCTGAGCGACCGGAACATCCGGAGGATCGAGCGGCGGCTGAGGAGGCGGCTGCAAAAGGCCAAGGAACTGGCGGAGGAGGAACGGGCCGAAATTCTCCGCCGTGCCTACCGGGGACAGGAGGCGGAAATCGAGATTGTTGCGGGCAACGACGACGGCGACGGGAGCGATCCGGTGTGGCTGGGGAAGCACGTGGAACGCGGCAGCGAACTGGACGACAGCATGGAGCACGCCACGATTCCGATGCACCACGCCCGGAGCGTCATGCACCGCAAGAAGCAAGAGGGATTCAACATGCTGCCGACGAGCGACGACGGTGCCAACTCGGACGACGAGACGGTTCTGGTCGGGGTGGCCACCTCGGAAAACGCCGGGATGGGAGAGGTGAGCCTCGGCAACACGGGGTACCGGAGGAGGCAGCGGATCATCGAAAACTGCCGGGTGGCCACCCGGTTCGCGGAAACCGCCGACGACAAACCGAGCGAACGGAACGGAGCGGTCGACGACCAAGGCAGCAGCAACAACACCGACCGAACCATGAAATCGATGAGGGACGTCATCCGCGCGGTGCGAAACACCATGAACGCAGAGAACTACGGCACCGGCCTCAACCCCGTGAATCCCGGAGACGCAAACGCCTCCAAATTCATGTCGATGCAGTCCACCCAGAACATGATCGACTATTCCATATTCCGGAGGAAGAAGCAATCCAAAAAACCCTCCTTTGCCCTCCGCGTCTTGGTCCAGGAGCGCTTTGCCAAGATCATCGCCATCGAGGTGGCCGGCTACCACTCCTCCATCGAAATCAAGGAGCACACCCTGTCGGTCACCATCGACTCCATGTCCGCCACGGCCGAGAAGTGGTCCGTCCCGCGCCGGGCCCGGAAGGCCTTCCGGGCGGTCTCCTTCGAGGTCCTGTATTTCGTCGGGGAGCACGGCCTCATCACCCGGGGGGCCGACGCCCTCTACGAGCTGACCCCCTTTGAGTTCCACGGCCTCTTCAGCGCCCTCGTGGCGGCCATGGGGGACGCCGACACGATGGAGGGATGGCTGGCCAAGACCGACACCCTCGCCCTGGTCGACCTGCAGAAGGGCGTCCTCCACCGGTCGGCCCCCGAGGAGGAAGGATCCGCCCGGCAGCGGATCTTTTCCTTCGACTGACCGACTGACGGTTTCGTTCCGACCGCGTGTGAAACAGAAACAACAGACACGGCGGCGTGGCCGAACGGAACGCGACGCGGTGCGGCGGGACCGGCCGGCCGGCAGGCAGGCACACCAACGAATACAGTAGAATAAACAAACCACCGAAACCGTACTAGCACCGGAACGACGCTCGGGCGACAGACCAATGGTTCGTTTTGTTTTGTTTTCGTTTTGTTTTCGTTTGCATCGCTGTGACAAAGTACAGTTCGTACCGTAGTAGCTAGTTTTCGCCACTCGTTTKGTGAGCGAATGCCTGGATTGCTTGCCAGCCAGCCAGCCAACACCTCGCCCCGGTGCTCGAGGTCGTAGTACCAAAAAGGAAGGTTTCACTCAACGGGCGGTTGGTTGCCTTGCCACCCACGCGGATTGCGATCGATGCCCGAGCACAACGGCAGCCGCCGCAACGGCCGCTGTTTGTGTGTGTGTGTGCGTGCCTGGGCTTGGTTTCCAATGCAGTGCGCAATACAATACAATGCAATACAAGCACAATGCAATACAATGCCAGCGAAACAAAAGAAGAATTGGCCTACGGTAGCACTGCCGACAAGCCACTGACCGAGAAGAGCGCCATCGGCAGGGCCGCGGCCAGCAAGAATGCTTCCGTCCCAAGGAACAACAACAACAACAACAACAACAACAACAACACGAGCGAAACTAGTAGTAGCAAGACGTCACCAGCAGATAAGACTAGATACGCGATGAACCTGGTCGTGCTTCTTGCCCAGGCCTTCCTTTCCAAAACCTAGACTGCTTGCAATGGTATGCTACGAACGTTTCCAAATCACAGGACCAGAAATCTGTACAGGGCACGTCACGTCACGTCAAATAAAAAAGAATTCTTATACCAAAGCAAAAGGCACACAAAGGCACCCGGCATCGAAATCCACACGGATCGTTCCTTCGTCGTCTTCCACACCGCCCAAGAATCGCATCGTGCATGCGTTCGATGGACGGGTCCGTCTGCCGGGACCCAAGCCGGTGTGGCATCGCGTCGCGTCGCATCGCTACGGCTTGACGGGGCGGTCGCGCATCAGGGCGTCGTGGAGCAGGACCAGGCCTTCGCCTCCCAGAATCGCCGCCATCGTCCAGAAGGAAGCCCCGGCGGCCTTGGCCTTCTCCTCCTCCTCCCCGCTCACGAGGAGAATCGAGCCCGCCACCTGCGATGCCCCCAGGGCCAGAAACAGGTTTTGCCTCAAAAAGGTCCCCTTGTGCGCGTGGGTGAAGAGAACCGCGAGTTTCGCGGCCGCAAGGACCAAGAGATTCACGCCCGACAGTTTGGAGTAGGCCTTCTGGCCCGGAACGAGCTCGTCCGGATTTTTGGTTCCCCAGAAGTAGGCCTGGAGGTCGTGCTCTTTTGGGAGGAACGGAATCTTGGCACCCGGGGCAAAGAGGTTCCGGAGGCCCAGCACCAACAAGGTGGTCGAGGCAGCACCAGAAATGATCTTGACGTGCGGGGGCGGTGTCATGGTTGTCTTTTTTCTTCAGTCGAACGAAAAGCAAAAAAAGTACCGTAGTATCGATTATTAGCGGGTAATCCGGAGAGCACAGAGTCCGCTGCTTCAAGGATATTTGTTGTGAACAATGAACGCTGTGACTTACGGTGTCAGCCTATCTCGTTCACAAGACGGTACATAACTCCAGAGTCGTATTTTAAGGTCCGAACACGAACCCCTAGTCCGTAGAAGCACTGCTATTTTCAAACGTCTTTCGAATATGTTTGAGTTTCGTATCTTCCGTCATCGATTGAAAAATCATATCGTACGGTACGAGTTTCTCGTACGCACGGGGTTACATAATTGTGGGGTCATTCCACAAGCACGAGAAGTACGAAGCAATTACATTGCTGTAGTGAATGCGTAGTACTTCCTTCACTGTAACTGAGGGGTCATATTAATCTACCGTTACGAGTACCCCCCGCTTTCAGCCAGGGGTCATAATTATGATGTTTGTCACCCCTGTGAGGCTAAATCCCGAGTAGCTAGTGAATAACTCACTCCTCAATTGTAAACCTCTCTGGTTGGTATGCATGGTGTACATGCCAGATTTTGTTGTGTCACCGTCGTCACAAAAGGTGTCACACTGTCCCTCGCATGCGTCTATTTCCATCAACAGTATCTCCTCTGCAAGTAAGTGTACTTCCTCAGTATGAACCGTACTACGTACTTCAGTACAATTAATACCGGAAGAACATCTCACGACAATTTGACAGCTAGTTGATACACGAAAACCCTCAAACTACAGACAGTAATAGTGACGGAAAAGTTGAGAAGACAAGACAACATCACAAAATACGAATTGATTCAATGACAACACCAGCACCAGCAGTAATCCCTCTTCGCCCCGAGGAAGTCCCAAAGGACATGGTTTGCGCCATTTGCCTTTCTATACCTTTGGAGCCTTTTCTCTTGAGACAGTGTTCGCATGTGTTTTGCAATGGTTGTATTACGGAAAGTCTCTCGCGCAACCCGCATGGCTATGGAATTCGCAATTACTGCCCGGTGTGTCGGGAGTATTGCGCAAGAGACGACATCTGCAGATTGTCGGAGGCAAACCCACTTGCCCATCGAATCTGGTCGAACATTGCGGTGAAATGCGACCACCACGAAACCAGCGGTTGTAGCTGGACTGGGTCTCTCTCAGACTACCAGAACCATAAATCAAACCAGTGCGTCGCTCGATCTTCCCGGGGGCAGCAACGCAGGAGGAGAAGTGATAGCGACCAAGAGATTTTCGACGATTTGAAAGAACAAGTCGAGCAGCTGAGCAATTCGAAAGAAACGCTTCAACAAGAGCTAGGTACAATGCGTGTGTCCAATATAGAGCTGACAGAAAAAGAGCGGGCGCTACGGCAGGAAAATGTTCGTATGAGAAACAACTGGGCCACTATGGAAGCTGAATTTAATCAATTGAAAAACATGGTACAAAGAATGGGCTCTTTGGGAATTGAGCAGCTAAGGTACAACGGAAGGGGAGGGTACTCTTACGACCGTGACTCGGTTGTTTCTCTATCAAAATTCATCTGCCAAAACTTGGAATGCAAACCAGCGGGCGTCTTGTGTTTTGACACTTCAAATGTGCATTGTCGTTTTAGAACAGAGCACCAACAGTTGCCACGGCACCGGCTGCAGTAGCAACGGCACTCCATCCCGGCAAAACACCAGGGGAAGTAGTCGCATCAGCACTKCCACCCTCGGCACCAATGGAAATCTTAGTYRCAAACTTGTGCTCTTCATTATCTGCCTTAAGGCGACGTTCTCCAACAAGTGAGAAGGTCTTCTTCAACTTGCGTCYGYCAGCTCCAGKTGCATATKYGGCCAGTTCCACATCACCGCTGCAASTAAAATATKGATCACCAYTKTYGTWTKYTTSWGGGTYGKTGAAGTATRCGTCAACGACAAYACTAGAGAATTGGAAATCATGAGTATCACGACGCTCCATCGTAGTCAGRAAGTCAGTGTTACCATCAGCACCAATGAGGGTTCGACCCTTGCATACCACGTTGCTGAGGCCTTCAATTTGCATATTATCGTCAGGAGAATAAACACACACAGTGAATGGTTGTCCAAGCTTGTATCTAGTGTCAACACCGCACAGATCTGCAGTAATGTCATAGCCTGTATTCAATTCTTTCTCAGTCTCCACGACCGATACCGAGGTATCTCCATCCAAATTGACATCAACTTCGAATGATCCAAAATTCCCTGAAACCGTATGAGTGAAGCTTATTTTATGATTAACAGAATTGATTCGGGTCTGAGATTCAGTTTCCACCACAGACACTTCGATACAGAATTGAGTTTTCGGGGCTTCAGGACCATCGCTATTTGCATCGTAGATTTGACTATTTTCCACATCGTGGACATAAAAAGAAACCTCCCCTGTCCATCGATAAATCAAGGGCAATGCAACAGTTAGCAAAGACAGACAAAGACTACTAAACTTGAAAAACTTGGTTCGTTACCATCAGAACACAAGCAACACTTACGGATATCACCTGCACCGTCAGAACCTGGTAGGCACACTTGTTCACCAGAATTTACATAGGCAACATCTTCACGACCTGAAACGCTGGTGTAAAATTGATCTTCTGTTGCACCATCAGAATCCAAAGGATGTACAAGATAAAAACTGCAACTGCCAGTAAGTGTAGTGACAATAGCAGGTACAATAAGATCGCCGGTGCAACTCCCATCATCCGCAACTGCAAATGCACGGGATTGTGCTGCGGTGCCTTCGGGGAGGTCGAGCTCAAACAGAACTGTCCCTGCAATTGACGATCCTTCTAGTTCACCAACCATAACAGTAGGTCCATCCGTGTTAAGGGGTGGTTCTACGGTAGCTGGACTGTGTACAGTGCTTCGGATCTCCCACGATCCGAGGGGTTCGGGGGGTTCGACAATGGGATTACATTCATCATTACACCAATACTCAAGGCTGGGATCCCAAKCATTTGGTTGAGAAGTAGTAAAACCTGGCATTGAACAAGCACTCCTCCAAAACATGTTGAGGGCAAGACTAATGCCCTGTTGGTTAACATTGTCTTGGTTTGCATTGTCCTCCACGGGTCGGGTCCGCAGATGCATAAAATTAGTGACGCATTGATCGAATGGGGTTTCCAAAAACATACCGTGAGCAGATCCCCATATATCTTCCGTCCCCACGCTTGTAGTAACCCAAGTATGGATTGGTTGATTGAATGGTGTAGTATGAAACTGTTCCCGAAAAGATTGGACCCTAGCTGTATTCCAACTATGGAGTGGTTGGTNTTTTTGTTTTGACACTTCAAATGTGCATTGTCGTTTTAGAACAGAGCACCAACAGTTGCCACGGCACCGGCTGCAGTAGCAACGGCACTCCATCCCGGCAAAACACCAGGGGAAGTAGTCGCATCAGCACTTCCACCCTCGGCACCAATGGAAATCTTAGTTGCAAACTTGTGCTCTTCATTATCTGCCTTAAGGCGACGTTCTCCAACAAGTGAGAAGGTCTTCTTCAACTTGCGTCTGCCAGCTCCAGGTGCATATTCGGCCAGTTCCACATCACCGCTGCAAGTAAAATATGGATCACCACTGTTGTTTTCTTCTGGGTTGTTGAAGTATACGTCAACGACAACACTAGAGAATTGGAAATCATGAGTATCACGACGCTCCATCGTAGTCAGAAAGTCAGTGTTACCATCAGCACCAATGAGGGTTCGACCCTTGCATACCACGTTGCTGAGGCCTTCAATTTGCATATTATCGTCAGGAGAATAAACACACACAGTGAATGGTTGTCCAAGCTTGTATCTAGTGTCAACACCGCACAGATCTGCAGTAATGTCATAGCCTGTATTCAATTCTTTCTCAGTCTCCACGACCGATACCGAGGTATCTCCATCCAAATTGACATCAACTTCGAATGATCCAAAATTCCCTGAAACCGTATGAGTGAAGCTTATTTTATGATTAACAGAATTGATTCGGGTCTGAGATTCAGTTTCCACCACAGACACTTCGATACAGAATTGAGTTTTCGGGGCTTCAGGACCATCGCTATTTGCATCGTAGATTTGACTATTTTCCACATCGTGGACATAAAAAGAAACCTCCCCTGTCCATCGATAAATCAAGGGCAATGCAACAGTTAGCAAAGACAGACAAAGACTACTAAACTTGAAAAACTTGGTTCGTTACCATCAGAACACAAGCAACACTTACGGATATCACCTGCACCGTCAGAACCTGGTAGGCACACTTGTTCACCAGAATTTACATAGGCAACATCTTCACGACCTGAAACGCTGGTGTAAAATTGATCTTCTGTTGCACCATCAGAATCCAAAGGATGTACAAGATAAAAACTGCAACTGCCAGTAAGTGTAGTGACAATAGCAGGTACAATAAGATCGCCGGTGCAACTCCCATCATCCGCAACTGCAAATGCACGGG